TGCTAGTGATACTGCCTATTGGAAGAATGTTTGTTCAGAATTTGTGAGAGTTTCAGTGGACTATATGCCTTCATATGCAAAAAGGCTAAAGACACATTTGGTTCTGCACTTAGTTGATAATATATTAGATTTTGGACCTACACAATGCTACAATACAGAAAGGTATGATAATAGTTTATTTATAATCCATTTCCATTCATTTAAATAGATATGAATCTTATAATTCACTAGTTAGAGCTCAAAACATTTTTGGTAATCGTCAGTCCCCTAGTAGAGATATTGCTACCAACTTTGCAGTACAGCAGCACCTGACCTTTATTTGTTCAAGAGGCTACTTTGAAGGAAAACAGTAAGTAACCCCTTTTCATTTTAAACAGATACATTTTACTTGATGGTTTGTAGATGTGGTGAACAGCTTTATAGTATTTATCTTTCTACTCAAGTCCAGCAGTTTCTAAGAGGAGTTTCTATTAAAAAAACTCAAAGTGATAAAGATATATATCAACCTGGTTGTTTACGGAAAGTATGTACTTAATCATTTGCATTTGATATGCTTTATAACAGCTACATCATGGAACTGTACCTTGCAAGATCCTAGACATCATATGCGATCAAATATCTTTGAGAGAACTGTTAAGGACTTGTACACTTCATAACATGCCTGATGATGTCACATTAGAGATGAATATTCTACCATACTCAGCAGTGATGAGTAAAACAATGCAATTACTTGATGTTGGTGATTTTGTAAAGATTAGTTCTTCTATTGTAAGTGCTAAGTATCATTTTGTATTTAATTTTATCTATATTGTTTTAAAGGTGACTACTGGAGTGCTAATTGCTTGTGGAAGATTGATAGATCATAATGGTGAAAGCAGTTCTGATGTTTGTATGATTAGAGAGCTACAGACTCAGTATAATAGTGATGGTACTGTATCTTTAACAGAATTTGATTGTCCAATTTTAATCCTTACCAATAATGTATTTTTCATTGCTACATCTTATTTACATTCCCCCATTTCTGTTGCACACATTTGCTCGTCTTCATGCTCTTTCTCTTCTGATTATTTCACATATAGGCATGATTTTTCCAATTATTTATTTTGTTACAACATATATTGTATGAACAACAGTTAGATTTTACTGTTATTTTTAAGAATAATAATTTTTTTAAATAATAATAATTTTTAAGCAGAAAAAAAGCGATTAAAAAATAGAACAATGAATAATTAATATAATTAGAGAACAGGATGAACGTCATAATGAACAATCATGAATATTGTTATCGTTAGCGGGTCATGCCTGACTCTGGGCGTCGATCGTGACTGATTCATCAGTATCGGAACAGGACATTGCCCCAAATCCTCGGTCCAGTATAGTCTATCAGCTATGATTCGAGCCTGAATCAGGACTGGTCCATGTTTCAACTCTTGGGCGTGTAATCCGCGTCCACTCATTGCTGGACATGAAAGAAGCTGGCAAAGTCGCCAAACGTAGGTCGGTTCCCCGACAACTCTTTCATAGTGAGAGCAAAAGAGCAACTGGGCAGATAAAACAATAAAGCAAAGCCTCCTCTTTCATTATTATGAGAGGAATTGCTCTAATCATCTTCGTTTTAAAGATATGGTAGCCCAAAAATTCATACTTTTGTGAGTTTAGACGAGGCTCTCTTCTCCCGAAGTAGCGGCCAGAGTCTTTTAACATCAGGGGCTCAATAGACGTTTGTATGCAACAAATAGAGTCTAACAAATGTGTGCTAAAATCTTTAAAAGTTGAGAAAAACTAAAGCTTTCTTCACCACTTAAGGCCACGTGCCACCATTACTGTGTGTGCGGCTGGAGCCATAGATAATAGAGTAATAGATAATTTTAGCAC